CCCCAAAACCCCAAAACCCCAAAACCCCTCAAGTTTGAATTTTCATAATATTAAGTGAAAAGAATAATGATTTGATAAGATAATGAATCTCAATTTAAAAACTCGTTTTGAGTATGATGATTTTCCCAAGGGAATTAGAATTTATGCTTTTGGTCAGCAGAAGGGAATTCTTGACCCCAAGGAAGACATTTTATTTTTAACGCTTTGTTATCATGAGGAAGCACATCTTTAACTAGGTAAGTTCTCTTAAAGGTACCAACAAGTGTTCCAGTCCAAAGATCAGAAACTTAGCAGTTGTAGTATGGATTTCCAGCAATTCCCATTGTTACGAAATCTAAGAGGACTGAATCCATCTCATCATTATTCCAATTTACTACCAATATTCCGAAGTAAACACCTCCGTCTAAATTCATTACTTAATAAACTTGAAGATCGTTCTAGCAGTTCATGACACATGAGCCAATATTTCCACTTGAATCCTAATTAATAGCGATCAAGTTTTTATTGGAAATTATAGCAAGTACCTCAGGACTCATATTAATCAGATCATTTCCTAGAATTAGAGGAGCTTTTACGAAGCACCAAAGAGCGAATTGAGTTCTTGATTCAGAGATAGTCAGCTAGCCATTACCAATTACTAGGACGTCTGGATCATTCCATCCACCAACTCCTGCAAAATCAGCATACTTGTTGTTGGTAATGAAATTGTACTTAACACTGGTGAAGCTATTATCAATAGAAGTAGTGGTTCTCCAGGAATTTGCAATCTTTTTAGCCCATGTCCACACGTCTTCGTTCCCTGAATTGCTTATTGAATAGTAAATTTGTCTTCCAGAAGCATTCAATGCCAGCTGCATATCGGTAAATCTCTTAAGAGCGGGAATGTTTTCATTATGACAGTTGTCGTATTTTAGATAATCTATCTTTACCATTGCGAAATCTCCAGCATCTGCAGTTTCAAAGCCAAGACTACCTGCACCCCCTTAGCATGTTTAAGCTCCTGCTGACTCATATAATCCAAGTTTAAGGTTATTGTCATGAAGGAAAGATGACATGGGCCTCATGCCTCCTGGGAATTTCGAATTATCATGAAGTAAGTGCCCATTAGCATCTCTATCTTTCATCATCCAGCAGTCATCGATGATAACATAAGTATATCCTATCTTGTCTAAGCCGAGAGATATTAATTTATTGGCATTATCCTTTACAGCATCGGCATTTATTTTGCAGCCATAGGCATTCCAACTATTCCAGCCCATCGGAGGAGTCAACCCCAAGCCATTGTCTAGAGCATTGACAATCTGTGATATTGATATTACCGAAGAAATTATAAATGCTAGCTTTTTAGAATCTCTCATTAAAGTAAATTATATAATTATTATACAAATTGAATATATCCCAGCCTTTAATAGCATAGATATTCCTTACGGGGTTTTGGGGTTTTGGGGTTTTGGGG